TTTTCCTATGAGATATATGCAAAGCACTTCTAGACAGGAATCCGAGGAGACTCCTGAGCCTGCCATTCCTATGGATTATTATGAACGAACACATGATGAAAATCCTAAGGAGGATAACGAGGAAACCCTTGGTAGGGTCAAGAGACAAAGGACTGCAAAGACCTTTGGTGATAATTTCTTTGTGTACCTCGTGGATGATACCCCCACTTCTATTTCAGAAGCGTATGCCTCTCCAGAAGCTGATTACTAGAAGGATACGGTCCGTAGCGAGATGGACTCCATCATGGCTAACGGGACATGGGAGATCACTGACCGTCCATATGGTTGCAAACCATTAGGATGTAAGTGGGTGTTCAAGAAGAAGCTTAGACCCGATGGTACGATTGAAAAGTATAAGGCTAGGCTTGTGGCCAAGGGCTATGACCAGAAAGAAGAGGAAGATTTTTTTGATACTTATTCACCTGTGGCTAGACTGACCACCATTCGAGTATTACTCTCGTTGGCGGCCTCGCATGGTCTTCTTGTCCATCAAATAGATGTTAAGACGGCTTTTCTGAATAGAGAGCTAAACGAGGAAATCTACATGCAACAACTAGATGGCTTTGTGATAGATGGTCAGGAAAGAAAGGTGTGTAGGTTGCTGAAATCTTTATATGGCCTGAAGCAAGCACCTAAGCAATGGCATGATAAGTTTAATATAACTCTGACATCCGTTGGTTTCGTTATTAATGAGTCTGACAAATGTGTATACTATCGCCATGGTGGGGCAAAGGAGTTATACTGTGCTTGTATGTTGATGACATACTGATATTTGGAACAAACCTCAGAGTCATTGAGGAGGTCAAATCGTTTCTATCTCAGAACTTTGAGATGAAAGACCTTGGTGTGGCTGATGTTATCTTGAATATCAAGATACTGAGAGATAATGAAGGTGGGATTACACTTCTGCAATCCCACTATGTTGAGAAGGTGTTGAGTCGTTTTGGATATTCGGACTGTGCATCATCTAAAACACCATATGATCCTAGCGTGGTGATTCGAAAGTCCAAAGGCACGGCTTGTTGGGGAACGTAGCAGAAATTCAAAAATTTTCCTACGAAACACCAAGATCTATCTATGGAGAGACCAGCAACGAGTAGAAAGAGAGTGCATCTACATACCCTTGTAGATCGCTAAGCGGAAGCGTTCAAGTGAACGGGGTTGATGGAGCCGTACTCGTCGTGATTCAGATCACCGATGATCCTAGTGCCGAACGGACGGCACCTCCGCGTTCAACACACGTACAGCTCGACGATGTCTCCCACGCCTTGATCCAGCAAGGAGAGAGGGAGAGGTTGAGGAAGACTCCATCCAGCAGCAGCACAACGGCGTGGTGGTGGTGGAGGAGCGTGGCAATCCTGCAGGGCTTCGCCAAGCACCTACGGGAGAGGAGGAGGTGTCACGGGAGGGAGGGAGGCGCCAAGGGCTCAGGTATGGATGCCCTCCCTTCCCTCCACTATATATAGGGGCAGGGGAGAGGGGGGAGGCGCAGCCTTGCCCCTTACTCCAAGAAAGGGGTGCGGCCAAGGGGGGGGGAGGAGTCCATCCTCCCCAAGGCACCTCGGAGGTGCCTTCCCCTTTGAGGACTCTTCCCTCTAGGGTTCCCTAGGCGCATGGGCCTCTTGGGGCTGGTGCCCTTGGCCCATGTAGGCCAAGGCGCACCCCCTACAGCCCATGTGCCCCCCCGGGGCAGGTGGCCCCACCCGGTGGGCCCCCGGGACCCTTCCAGTGGTCCCGGTACAATACCGATGACCCCGAAACTTGTCCCGATGGCCGAAACAGGACTTCCTATATATAAATCTTTACCTCCGGACCATTCCGGAACTCCTCGTGACGTCCGGGATCTCATACGGGACTCCGAACAACATTCGGTAACCACATACAAGCTTCCTATATAACCCTAGCGTCATCGAACCTTAAGTGTGTAGACCCTACGGGTTCGGGAGACATGTAGTCATGACCGAGATGTTCTCCGGTCAATAACCAACAGCGGGATCTGGATACCCATGTTGGCTCCCACATGTTCCACGATGATCTCATCGGATGAACCACGATGTCAAGGACTCAATCAATCCCGTATACAATTCCCTTTGTCTAGCGGTATTGTACTTGCCCGAGATTCGATCGTCGGTATACCGATACCTTGTTCAATCTCGTTACCGGCAAGTCTCTTTACTCGTTCCATAACACATCATCCCGTGATCAACCCCTTGGTCACATTGTGCACATTATGATGATGTCCTACCGAGTGGGCCCAGAGATACCTCTCCGTTTACATGGAGTGACAAAATCCCAATCTCGATTCGTGCCAACCCAACAGACACTTTCAGAGATACCCGTAGTGTACCTTTATAGCCACCCAGTTATGTTGTGACGTTTGGCACACCCAAAGCACTCCTACGGTATTCGGGAGTTGCACAATCTCATGGTCTAAGGAAATGATACTTGACATTAGAAAAGCTTTAGCATACGAACTACATGATCTTGTGCTAGGCTTAGGATTGGGTCTTGTCCATCACATCATTCTCCTAATGATGTGATCCCGTTATCAATGACATCCAATGTCCATGGTCAGGAAACCGTAACCATCTATTGATTAACGAGCTAGTCAACTAGAGGCTTACTAGGGACATGGTGTTGTCTATGTATCCACACATGTATCTGAGTTTCCTATCAATACAATTCTAGCATGGATAATAAACGATTATCATGAACAAGGAAATATAATAATAATACTTTTATTATTGCCTCTAGGGCATATTTCCAACACGGCTAAAGATCAATTGAGATACTCTCAAATCATTGGTTCACTAATGTACCTAGCGAGCGCAACGAGGCCTAACATCGCATTTGCTGTGAGCAAATTAAGCCGGTTTGTTTCCAAACCGGGTGATGTACATTGGCATGCTGTTGAAAGAGTTATGCGCTATCTGAAAGGTACTATGAACTATGGACTTCACTATACTGGAGACCCGTTGGTACTTGAAGGGTATAGTGATGCGAATTGGATCTCTGATGCTGATGAGATGAATGCCACAACTGGGTATATATTTACTCTTGGAGGTGGCGCTGTTTCCTGGAAATATTGGAAGCAAACGATCTTAACGAGATCGACAATGGAAGCAGAATTAACAACATTAGACACATCTGGTGTTGAAGCAGGATGGCTTCGAGATCTTTTGATGGACTTGCCATTGGTTGATAAACCGGTTCCGGCTATCCTTATGAACTGTGACAATCAGACTGTCATCACCAAGGTGAAGAATTCAAAGGACAACATGAAGTCCAGCAAACACATAAAAATGAGATTAAAAGCTGTCAGAAAATTAAGAAACTCCGTAGTGATAGCGTTGGACTATGTCCATACGGCTAAGAATCTGGCAGATCCTTTTACAAAATGGCTATCACGTGTTTTGATAGATAATGCAACGAGGAAGATGGGTATGAGACCCACATGAGCTGTCATGGTGGTAACCCGACCTATGTGATCGGAGATCCCGTGAAGTAGGACCTGAGAAAACAAGCCAGTGATGAACTGAGGAGAGTAACTATACTAACCCACTCCGTTGGAGATGCAATACTCTCGATACTGTATGGTAGGATGACTACTGTCTTAATGTGTTCCAAAGCTTATGAAAGCAAGATGCTATCCTACAGAGCGATCTTTGAAGGAACACACCTATATGAGCCCGACTGCTGGTCACAGTCTATGAGATCGGGGTGATCTCTAGTAAGCTCATAAATAGGCCAGGAGTGTGACTTATATGCTCCACCCGAGGGATCAGCCTTCGGCAGCCTAGTACTAGTAAGACATGTGGTAAAACTTCTTTACGCCAAACTGACAATTCAAGGCATAGTCCATTGTTCAGTTGTGAAGGAGTGTAGCTACTTGCTCTAGGTGAAGTTCAATCTTAACAGGTCTTCACTAAAACACTGGTATATCGAAACAGTAATTGGAACAGAGGACACAATGGGCCCTCGAGATCTGGTGGGGGATTGCTGAAATTTGAGATGGGCCCTAGACCCATATGGCAATTTTTGAAAAATCTATAAGGGCCCATGTGGGTTATATGACACTAGGTGTAGTGGGAAGTTTAGCCCCACCCCGAAAGTGGAAGAGGAGTTGGACCTCCTTATAAGGGTTTCTCTTCTACATGCTATTGGAGCTTGAGAAGAGAAGATGCCCTCACGCACTCCTCCTCCGCCGCCCACCACGCCTCGTCACGACGCGTCGTGCTGTGGGTTGCGGGGTTGAGCCGAGCCGAGCTCACACCTACACGCTTATCTTTGCCAATCACTAATGGAGAGTTCTCTGACAGCTGGGCCTAAGACGTCGGATCGTGGGATGCCACGGACTCGGACGTGGGTCGAGCCCATGTCTCTCCACGTGGCTGCGCCTATATGAGTGTGCGGTGTCTCCTAACCCTAGCCGCCACGAACAGATCACATATGCTCCACACGCACGTCCACCGTCGTTCCCTTGCTGCTGCTGCCGCCGGTGACGCCATCCCGTACGCCGCATACACGGTCGACGGGAGAGCGGGTCTCCGAAACCACGCCCTTCTGGTTCCTGTACGGGGTGAGGAGCGAATAGGTTTTTGGGCAGTGACTACGCGACTGCTCGCTTCCGATCCGCCACTTCCTCTACGTCCGCGTCGCCCTCATCATCATCATGTCCACCAACGCCGAACGTGCCGCCGCCGAGAAAGCTGAAGCCGACAAGAAGGCCGCCGAGGATGCTGCGGCCGCCACCAGCGCCGTGGCGTGTGCATGGCCTACTGGAGGGTATAACGTGTTTATCCCGCTCCTGATTATTTTTGTATTAGAAGTACTAGCAGTATGTGTAGATTTGTCTACTGTTTGCTTAGTACGTACATGTTTAGACCAGAGTCAGTACGTCATCAATTTAGTCAATGCTATGCTAGTGATTTATCTATGGATTAAATTAGTCGAAAAATTGCCTATTTACTCAGCACATACACCTCCACCACGCTCAGCCACAGGAACAGCTCCTTGGTCTTCACGCCGGCAATCTTCCTCAGCTTCCCCGGCTCGACGAAGGCCGTCACCTCGCCGGCGTACGACACGGTCTGCTTCACCTTCTTGAAGGTGTGCTCCGTCTTCTTCCTCTGCACCAGCCACATGAAGCCGGCCGCGCAGTTGTACCCGAACTCCTCCATCTCCTCCAGGGGCAGCAGGCCCGTGGGGAGGCCCAGCCAGTGGCGGAGCCACCGCCCAGTGACCCTGCGCACTTGCCCGGGCTCTCTGGTTCGTAACAGTAGCGATCGATAGATTAAATAAAGGGCTAAAACAGATCGGTAACTTGCTTTACCCGGGCAAAAAACACCGGGCCTTCGTTTCTCACAAGCTCAGAGCCCAACAAACGAGTAGTATAAGCAGTCAGCCCATGCCGAAACAAAAGAAAACAACACAAGGAATACCTACGACGGATCGATGATGCTAAAAAAAACCTACGACGGATCGATCGATCCAATTCTCTCCTGTCTCTTCGTTTCTCAGGCGCGAGCACAGGGGCGCTGGCGGCTAGCCTTGAGGCTGTGCCCTAGACGACGGCCGGCGGCAAGCGAAGCGACCCCAGCGTCCCACGTAGTTTATTTGTCCGGTTGTTCCACAGCCTCTCCTTCCTCTTATTCGGCTTCGACTTCGACTTCCTTTGGTAAGAAATCTCTGTCAAAATTAGGGCCAACGATCTCTCATCTCTGAAGTCTGAATAATTGGTCTGAGAAGTAGGATTGATGCAAAGTACCGATTGAGATACACACACTAATACAAGGAGTTTTGTACTGTGAACTTGTCACTTGTTGTAGCTTATTTTCTTATTTACTTGTTTAGCCACTAATTTCAAATTTTATCATTAAAATTCAGAGATGTGGAGGTTTTTGGTTAGCAGAGCAAGCACTGAAAATGTGAATGATGTGCAACCAGAGATAGAAGTGGAGCCACAACCACCTTCTAAGTTCTAACATTGCCAATGAATTTAATCCAAATGATATTGAGCGTGATCCAGGAAAGAGGAAACACATTTGCGAGTATCCTCCTAATATTCAAGATCAAGTGAGTAGGGCATATGTATTGAGTGGTCCAATGCAACCAGATTTGAATAAATTTCATCGTACTGAATTTGGCAGTTCACGTTCATCAAGAGCATTTTCTAAATCTGGGCAGAAAAAACATTCATGGATTGAATACAGTGAGTGGAAGAAGGTGGTTTATTGTTTTTATTGCTTTCTCTTTAAGCAACCTGGAAGGGCTGAGCACTTTGGTTTTGATGTATTCACCAAAGAAGGATTTACAGATTGGAAGCATGCATCTAAAGCCTTCAAAGATTATATTGGTGGCCCTGGTAGTTCTCAGAAAGGGCATTGGTCTCGTGATTTTCTTTAGTGCATTGTCGGTATGTTTCATCTGACTATCTCTATTATTGCAAGCTTTTGATTTCAAATCTCACAACTAATTTATTTAATTAGAAATCCATTTTTATATTGTAGTGCCTTCGAGGACTTTGGGAACATGGCAAGTTTGCCTCTACGCAAGGTTGATTGTATGTCTTTCTTTTGGCAAAAATGAACAAGTGAGAGATACTTTTGGCCATGGTGGAAGAAATTGCACGATCACATCTAGTGACATATGGTATGGATATATTTACTTTTGTTGGCAACATGGCGAGTTTGTCTCTATGCAAGGTTGGCTATGTATCTTTTGTTGTCATTTCTCAACTTTATTTGCTCTATGAAGTGAATATTGATATATTAGCTCACTTTAAAATTAAATTTTGTGTGACTATTATGGTTATGGTTTCACTTTATTATTAATGCGGATCTGTGATTCCGAAGCTTGACGGTATATTATATGTTGTGTATTCGAATACCCAATTTTTGATTTCTAGATTATACACTTAGGCATAATTTGCCCAGGCTCCACAAAAGTTCTGGCTCAGCCACTGGGCCCAGCTCCTCCAGCACCTCCACCGACTTCTTCTTGCACATGGCGTCGTCGCCGTGGAATATCTCCGCGCCGACACGATGGCTCTCGACGGCTTGGGATGCCATGTCAGGTGAGGTTCTTTCCTAGTACAATGCGGTGCTGATCTTGCGAAACGGGAGAGCTAGTTAACCGTGAATGATGGAGTCTGATATGGCAATTGCCAAGCCAAGGTGTATATATAGCTAGTTATGTAGTAGTAGATGCGAGAAAGCTTAAATATTGATCACCGTCTATATATATATGAGTATTTTCTGTCTGAGAGCTACGGGTTGCTAATTTCTAGAGTGGAATGTCAATATGTTTGGACCTACTATTTTTGTCTTTTGAACTCGTCAATAGATGTGAGCTTTTATTTGAGCGCTTAAGTGGTGAAGAAGGAAGATTATGGTGATACTCACACAGCCTTCTGTGACCAAGTCCAGAAAGGGTCGCGACGGCATAGCACAGCCCGCCAGCCGCTGAATTGAATGGGTATGCAATGTCATTTTAGCTTCGATACAACTCCCTAAATACATGAAGGGCTGAGATTGATCCGTATCTTTTCGTAATAAAGAACATGATGATCCTATTTGAAATAACCTTCGGTCGCCGATCCGAGCTGTACATAGTAATACGTACGCCTAAGCAGCCACGGAGGATGCGTTTGGGCCAGCGCATTTAATCCTTCTTTTTATGGTAACCTCCAAAAAATTATGCTCAGTCGCTCGGCCCCTTCCTCAGGAGTATACAATACAGTAACCTTTTTTTTAAGTAACCAAGCGGGACAACTTGCTGCCTTTGTCTGTGCTCCATTTTGCTTCTCTTGTACAAAACGACGCGGCATGCTTGGGCCGAACCAACAGGCCCCGACGGCGTGTTAGGCCATGGCTTTCGCATTTTTTTCTTATCTATTTTTTTCTTTCTTTTTTTCGTTATTTCATTTTTTTCCTTTATTCACTTTAGTTTTTTTTTTCGTTCACAATTGTCAGGAACTGTTGGGAATTGTTTAGAAATTTTCATAAAATTGTTAAAGCTTTTATTATTTTCATAAATAATTTAAAATTCCAAAATTATTGATAAATTTAAAATAAATGGTTAGAACATAACAATATGTTCATGTTGATTCATAATTATGGAAATATCATATTTGAAATAACAGGAGCATTGAATTTAAGAAAATTACGTGCTCACGGATGTAGCCGTCTAGGCTAGTCCCGCACCCTACTCTTAACTGGTGTCCTTTTGCACTATGGATAAATGACCCCAACTTTTTGCAGTAGCCTCTCATGGACATAATAGGCAACCATGCCTGATTGGAACGACTTACGACACTGTCGGGACGTTGCGACATGTGTGACCATTATATAGGCCGTTATTCACCGAAATAATTCAACAATATCAAAAACATGTCCTATGGAAGTACCAGTTGGCATGGTGGCATGAAATGGTGATACAAGGTGATGGAAAAAAATAGCGAACAAGGTGTCTAACATGGTTTTTTTTGTACATGTGAGAATGACCCCGAATTTTGCCACCAAGGGTGCATGCCCATTGTAGGAATACATGTCTGATTTGAATGAATTTAGACACCATTTGCGCCTTGCAACACGTCTGGTCATTTATCAGCCTTTTTTCATCGAGAAAACTTTAGAGTCCCGCACCTTACTCTTAACTGGTGTCCTTTTGCACTATGGATAAATCACCCCAACTTTTTGCAGTAGCCTGTCATGGACATAATAGGCATCCATGCCTGATTGAAACGACTTACGACACTGTCGGGGCGTTGCGACATGTGTGACCATTATATAGGCCGTTATTCACCGAAATAATTCAACAATATCAAAAACATGTCCTATGGAAGTGCCAGTTGGCATGGTGGCATGAATGGTGATACCAGGTGATGGAAAAAATAGCGAACAAGGTGTCTAACATGGTTTTTTTGTACATGTGAGAATGACCCTGAATTTTGCCACCAAGGGTGCATGCCCATTGTAGGAATACATGTCTGATTTGAATGAATTTAGACACCATTTGCGCCTTGCAACACGTCTGGTCATTTATCAGCCTTTTTTCATCGAGAAAACTTCAAAGTCCCGCACCCTACTCTTAACTGGTGTCCTTTTGCACTATGGATAAATGATGCCAACTTTTTGCAGTAGCCTGTCATGGACATAATAGGCATCCATGCCTGATTGGAACGACTTACGACACTGTCGGGGCGTTGCGACATGTGTGACCATTATATAGGCCGTTATTCACCAAAATAATTCAACAATATCAAAAACATGTCCTATGGAAGTACAAGTTGGCATGGTGGCATGAAATGGTGATACAAGGTGATGGGAAAAAAATAGCGAACAAGGTGTCTAACATGGTTTTTTTTGTACATGTGAGAATGACCCCAACTTTTGCCACCAAGGGTGCATGCCCATTGTAGGATACATGTCTGATTTGAATGAATTTGTGCACCGTTTGCGCCTTGCAACACGTCTAGTCATTTATCAGCCTTTTTTCGTCGAGAAAACTTTAGAAAATAGGAAACTTGTCGAAAAAGAAAACAACCTGACATGATGGCATGAATTGGTGATACAAGGTGATAAAAAAACTGAGGCCATTTAACGGATGCAAAATACCATGTGTTCACAAATGGACCATTCTGGCTACCCGAACACCCTCTGTCATACATGATTTTTGTTGTACATGTGAGGAATGACCCTGAATTTTGTCACCAAGGGTGTGTGCCCATAGTAGGCATCCATGCCTGGTTTGAATGAATTCAGATGCCATTTGCATATTGTGACACGTTTGGCCATTTATCGGCCTTTTTTCACCGAGTAAACTCCAGAAAATACAAAACTTGGCGAAAAATAAAACAACTTGACATGGTGGCATGAATTGGTGATACAAGGTGATGAAAAAAATGGGGCCATTTGACGGATGTGAAAAACCAGGTGTTCACAAACTGACTCTTCTGGCCTACCCGAACACCCTTTGTCTAACATGGTTTTTGTTGGACATGTGAGGAGTGACCAAAATTTTTGCTACCAAGGGTGTGTGCATGTGGTAGGCAATCATATGTCTGGTTTGAATGAATCCGGACATCATTTGCACGTTGCGACTGGTCCAACCATTTATTGACCTTTTTTCATTGAGAAACTCCAAAAAAATACTAAACTTGCCAAAAACAGAAACAACT